CAACTGGAAGGGGATCAAAGAGGCAATCACTTCAACATGTCATGGGTCACAAGAAGCACCACCACAAGGAATGGATCACTGTTGATACACTGGATAAGATTCAAGAAAGAAGAAACAAGAAGGCAGCGATCAATACCAGCCGAACAAGAGCAGAAAAAGCTAAGGCACAAGCTGAATACACGGAATTAAACAAACAAGTGAAGAGGAGCATCAGAACCGACAAACGTAAATATGTGGAAGATTTAGCAACGACGGCGGAAAAGGCTTCAAGAGAAGGAAACATGAGACAATTGTATGACATAACAAAGAAACTCTGGAAATCACCGTAAACCGGAGCGACCAGTGAAAAGCAACGACGGCAAGGTAATCACCACCATTGAAGAGCAACGAAACAGGTGGATAGAACACTTCAAAGAACTCTTGAATCGACCAGCGCCACGACCAAACAATCCAGCTCAGAGAACAAAACTCCATCAAAAAACTCTTGGCCATATTACATCTATTCTATATTAGTTTAAACAGTTATCATTGAACAGATATCATCAGTAAGTTATATATATATATATATATTACTTATTTACTTACGCCTGTTAATCCCAATGGAGCATAGGCCGCTGACCAGCATTCTCCAACCCACTCTGTCCTGGGCCTTCTTTTCTAGTTCCATCCAATTCTTGTTCATTTTTCTCATGTCTATCTCCAGTTCTCGGCGTAATGTGTTCTTTGGTCTTCCTCTTTTCCGTTGACCTTCAGGATTCCATGTGAGGGCTTGTCTTGTGACGCATTTGGGTGCTTTCCTCAATGTGTGTCCTATCCACTTCCAGCGCTTCTTCCTCATTTCTTCCTCCACTAGGATCTGGTTTGTTCTCTCCCACAGTACGTTGTTGCTAATAGTGTCCGGCCAATGGATCTGAAGTATTTTGCGTAGACAACTGTTAATAAACACCTGTATCTTCTGGATGATGGCTTTTGTAGTTCTCCAGGTTTCTGCCACATACAGTAGAACTGTCTTGACATTTGTATTGAAAATCCTGACCTTGGTGTTGGTTGACAGTTGCTTTGAGCTCCAGATGTTCCTCAGTTGTAAATATGCTGCTCTTGCTTTGCCGATCCGCGCCTTCACATCTGCATCAGATCCACCCTGTTCATCAATGATGCTGCCCAAATATGTAAAGGTTTTTACATCTTCCAAATCTTCTCCGTCAATTGTGATTGAGATGGTGCATTCTGTGTTGTATCGGAGAATCCTGCTTTTCCCTTTGTGTATGTTGAGACCTACTGCTGCTGAGGCTGCTGCCACGCTGTTTGTCTTCTCCTGCATTTGTTGTTGCGTGTGGGATAGAAGGGCCAGATCGTCTGCGAAGTCTAGATCATCCAATTGCATCTTAGATGTCCATTGTATCCCGGGCTTTCCTTCGGACGTTGACGTCTTCATGATCCAGTCGATCACCAGGAGAAAGAGAAAGGGTGAGAGTAAGCAACCTTGCCTAACACCGGTCTTCACTTTGAACGACTTTGTCAACTGTCCTCCATGCACAATTTTGCAGTGTAATCCATCATATGAGTTCTGTAGGATATTGACTATCTTCTGAGGCACGCCGTAGTGTCGAAGAAGTTTCCATAGTGTTGTTCTGTCCACGCTGTCAAATGCCTTTTCGTAGTCAATAAAGTTGATGTAGAGTGATGAATTCCATTCAATTGATTGTTCCACAATGATCCGTAGAGTTGCGATCTGGTCTGTACACGATCTATCCTTACGGAATCCTGCCTGTTGGTCTCGAAGTTGGGCGTCTACGCAGTCCTTCATCCTGTTTAACAATACCCTGTTGAAGACGTTTCCCGGTATTGAGAGAAGAGTGATGCCCCTGTAGTTATCACAGTTGCTGAGATCGCCTTTCTTCAGTATTTTGATCAGAAGTCCTTCTTTCCAGTCTTTTGGTACTTGTTCCTGATGTCAAATCTTATTGAAGAGAATGTGGAGTATCCGTGCAGTTGCCGCTACGTCTGCCTTTAGTGCCTCTGCTGGGATGTTGTCCGGTCCTGCTGCTTTGCCACTCTTGATTTATCTGATGTCCATGCTGATTTCTTCAATTGTTGGTGGGCCAACATTGATTGGGATGTCCGTGGGTGCTGCTTCGATGTTGGGTGGGTTCAGTGGCCCTGGTCGATTCAAGAGTTCTTTGAAGTGTTCTATCCACCTGTTTCGTTGCTCTTCAATGGTGGTGATTACCTTGCCGTCGTTGCTTTTCACTGGTCGCTCCGGTTTACGGTGATTTCCAGAGTTTCTTTGTTATGTCATACAATTGTCTCATGTTTCCTTCTCTTGAAGCCTTTTCCGCCGTCGTTGCTAAATCTTCCACATATTTACGTTTGTCGGTTCTGATGCTCCTCTTCACTTGTTTGTTTAATTCCGTGTATTCAGCTTGTGCCTTAGCTTTTTCTGCTCTTGTTCGGCTGGTATTGATCGCTGCCTTCTTGTTTCTTCTTTCTTGAATCTTATCCAGTGTATCAACAGTGATCCATTCCTTGTGGTGGTGCTTCTTGTGACCCATGACATGTTGAAGTGATTGCCTCTTTGATCCCCTTCCAGTTGCTCTCCACAGTAGTTCCTTCTCCATTGAGTAGATCATGAAAGGCCTGGAACTTGTTGCTGAGGACTATCTTGAATTTGTTGAGTTTGTTAGTATCCTGGAGAAAGGCCGTATTGAACTTTTGTGATACTATCTGCCTCGTTGTCCAGTGCCTCTTGAGTTTCAATTTCATCTTGGCGACCAGTAAGTGATGATCTGATGCTATATCAGCTCCTCTCTTGGTTCTCACGTCCTCTATAGTCCTCCCGAACGTTTTGTTGATGCAAATATGGTCGATTTGGTTTTGTGTAGAGTGATCCGGTGAAGTCCATGTGGTTTTGTGTATGCGTTTATGTGGGAATACGGTGCCGCCTATGACCAGCTTATTGAAGGCACATAGGTTTGCAAATCTCTCACTATTTTTGTTTCTTTCTCCCAGTCCGTGTCGTCCCATGATGTCTTCATATCCAGTGTTGTCCGTTCCAACCTTGGCATTGAAATCTCCCATCAGAATGGTCAGGTCCTTTGTTTGGCACTTCTCGACGATTGACTGCAGCCTATTGTAGAATTGATCTTTAGCGTCTTCATATATATATATATATATATATATATATATATATATATATATATATATATATATATATATATATAATTTTTATACATCGTAGGGGATATTGATGATTATCTTGACCTAAACTAGAAATATTTGTTTTTCTTGTCACTTAATATAAATATAATTTACCAACTATTGTCTAAATATATTATCTAAACTGAATATTCTATCACTTAGAAATATCCAACCTATGCTCCATTACGAGTAATAGATGTAAGTTAAGTAAAGTAAAAGTATTAGTGGGAAATAGTAGACAGTAAAAATACCTGAAAATTTTCTGTTATGATGTCCATAAAATATTTGACTGTTTACTATAATTTAAGGAAAATTAGTCAATAATAAAACATTTAGGAAAGTGGGGTGAACAGAGAAAGTTTTATTACTGAAGTTGAATGTATATAGCAGTTATGTATCATAACTAAGTATTAGATATCATTAAATCTCCTTCATGGATAATGTTAGATCATTTGATTTCGTTACGAAACTATAAGAAGAAAGGTGTTATCATTTACTTTCAACAAATTACATAATTAAACATGTTGAAACAATAATGAAAACATAAAAATGGTTGTATTTGATAATCAATAGTCAAACCTTCATGATGATTGTACAAACAGAAGCATATTTCATATACATAGTTTCCTTTATCATATTGAAATGTGTAAGAACAAAGATTCTAGCAGAATCTAGAATCTTGCTCTTTTCAGAAGTATATTTTAAGATATCTCACAAACAATGTCATGCATCCAGTAACGTTAAAACTTAGTAATTGTTAACATTTTAATTGAATTATCATAAAACTTATTTTAAGATTTGCATGAATCATTTCAAAGATAGTGATCAAAGTCATAGTATCTTATCCTTACTATGAATTGTTTTACTATATACTATTTTAACACATTACTAGGTCGATTAAACTTCTTTTAAACTTGATAAAATAATTGTATCAGCAAGCCTTCGATATATAATTTTTACACATTTCATATTTTTATTTATATATTATGCTATATTTTACTAACTTATGCATAATCTTTTTTACTTTGATTGTACTACACAAAAAGAATTGATTTTAATTTTTGGTTGAGATCATGAACCAATTGACACCAAACCACCATTGAGAACCTGGAAGCACTGTACGGCCGTTTCGTCCTATTGTGGTACTTCTCAGCGGTACGCATGATTCGAACCCAGGTCTTTTGATCTCGTGCGCGAACGCTTAACTTAATAATTTCCACAGACTAATACAGGTAATTATCATGTACTCTCTAGTGACTCGAGGAGTAACAGGCGTAAGTAAGTAAGTAAGATCTTTAGTGACTACCTTCGTGAAGGAATTCTCGAAGTTCTAGTGAGAAGCCATAACAAGTAGAGTTAATCCATATCAGGTAGAGACAGGTATCTATCTCAGTACAATGGAAGATGGTCGCGCAATTTCTCGGATTGGCTGAAGTTAGGCATTAACATCGTTAAATGCCAGCCAACTCAGTGGTCAAGAGTTTAGGCTTTCGCGCGTGAAACTGAACGACCTGGGTTCGAATCCCATGACCAGGACCGTGGATGCGTATCGCTGAGAAGTACCACAATAGGACGAAACGGCCGTCCAGTGCTTCCAGGTTCTCAATGGTGGTTTGGTGTCAATTGGTTCATGATCTGAACAACCCAATACTGATGATTTTAATTTTGGCAAATAAAAATTCATTCTTAACGAATTTGTTGTCTTTCGGAAGATATTCGGAATTGCATGTAAAAAACAGATTTACTGTTGTAGATTTTTTAAAATATAAGTAAAAACATGGATAATAAGGATATATTCTTACCGGCGTTGCATTATGGATCGTTCGCTGTCGTCTGCTGTTTCTTCCACTTCAGATTCTATATTGATTAAAGGTGATATTAATGGAGTTTTATGTATATCATCAGCATTATCATGTTTATCAGTAACCTGTAAATCTAATGTAGGGGGTGAAAATCTTTCTTGTTCTTTAATCCCTGATATTTTCACGGATTTACCAGTATCTTCGTTTTCTTCAATTGAAATTTGTGGTACATTTTCCACTGTAATTATAGAATTCTTATCTACAATTGTAGCTAATGCTTCTGGGGTATGGAAGACTCGAGAATCACTACCAGAAATTCGTGTAGTGGCTAAAGGTTGTTCCTCATCTGTTCTACTTTCTAATAACCCTCCCATATTCCTTGTTGGCTTCCATGTATATGTTGAACTTCTAGTTTTCTCAAAATTTTCTCTTAATCGTCTAATACGAGAGTGACAGCCTGAATTTAAGTAGGATACTGGGCAAGTGTTCAAGTAGTTTGTAACACTATTTGCACGTTTTTCATCATTTAATTCTTTATTAAACTGTACATTTTTTACTTCGTTTCTATCTAAACTGGGTTGTTTTGATACGAACTTTACATTTGTATTACTTAATCTTAAGTTGTTATCTTGATTTATTCTACCTGATTGATTTTCATTGTTAGTATCATATTGCTTGAATAATGTCTCATTATATGTGTTAGCAGAGTGTGTATACAACGACATATTACTACTATCATAGCTTTGTTGTTTATCATTTGTTTCGAATGAATTTTGTCTCTTATAAATGCTGTAGTCATCAGTGTAATCACTGTCATCTGTCCACTGTCTTGCTAAACCCGGTACACTTAAAGTTTCTTGTAATCCAATCAAATCTGCTTGACGTTGATTAATATTGTGAGTAGTTTCAAGTTGAATATGTTTCTTCATTGGCGATGATGATGTGACAGTAGCAGAACGGGCTAGTTGATACCTTATTTTATCATAATAGTGATTGTGTTTATGCAAATGAATTTCTGAAACTGGCTGACTTGTCTTGCTTGCATTACTTGTATCGCTTGAAAGATTATGTGCATTCCTTGTTATAGAGTCTACTGATGCATCATGATTATAAATAACTTGTTCCGCGGCTAAAGGATCAATGGCTAGATTAGAACAATTACATTCATGATGATATTCATCAAGTAAAGCTTCATTATTTTGATTAATGCGTTGTTGAGTCCATGGTTTATCACTACTATTTTCTTCTAAGTTCGGTTGTTCTTTCATTTGCGATATAGTGTTTTTTTCTAACTGGGAAGCTGTTGGTTGTTGATGTTTCTGAATATCTATTAATTCTTTGGTTGAACGATTATCTTTAGCTGCTAATGTTAATACAGTAGCACCGAGAACACCACCACTAATTAAATGATGAAATGGACTTTGTTGATTAGTTCCAATTAAACCCCCACTACTACCACTACTACTTCTAGCTGGAAATATACCAAGAGTACATGGATATTTACTAATATTTGAATGCTTTATTTTTGTTTTTGTTTCTTGATTTTCTTGTTTACGTGAAGTTTGTTGTTGATACTGATTTTCCAATTCTTTAGCAGCTTTAAACTCTTTTACATGTCTTAATTGTATTAAACCTACAGCGAGAAAGAAAAAAATAGACACAAATAATTTTTCATAAACAGTTAACATGAGAACCAAGAACAAATGAAAATAAAAAAAGAATAATTCAATGAATTAGTTATTTAGACTGTTATGAATGAACAGTTTTAGTTGACTGAATAAGTAGCATTTGTACTGTGGTGCGTGCTACTTATATTGATATAAGTAGTATATGACGCGAGCTAGGAATGTAATGTCTGACAGCAGAAGATGGGGAAGATCAAGAAAGTAAGAGCAGGAGTAGAAATCAATTAGTATGGAAACGCAAGAATAATGAAGTTCGAGACATTTATAGAGCATTTTGCAAATTAAGTATTATAGTATGGTTTTTCTATTTTACGAAAATAGAAAAATGATTAGTGGGAGGAAAAAATATGAAATTCAACTGATCATGTAAGAATCCACTATGGAAATTGTAATTAGTTCCTAATTAGTTTCTACTAGAGATATCACTATCCAAGGAATTAGTCGAGAAATTTGTATTGCTCTTGAATTATCTATCACTATGCAACCTGAATTCTATACTCTACCTCAACAATATTCACTGAATAATAGTCTAAGATGACTGAAAAATCTTGATTAGTCCATTTTTCACTATTTTATAGAGGACGTTTTGCCTAATTAAAACCAAACGCTGGAAAAAATTTTTATAATTCGCCTTTTTTATTAATGATGAAAATTTAATGCATTAAAGACAAATATCAACCATTCTCATAGATTTATGTTTGATTTTAGGTGATTAGAGAGGATCATTAAGGAATTTTAATTCTAGTTGTAGTTCAAGTTAACATCCATCAGTAAAGCATATCGATAATCTTGAGAGGAATGATGCTTCTTATGGGATTCGGATTTATAGTCCGAGATACTGTCACTAATCTAATTAGGCAATGACAGAACTCCCATAGTACTGACATATTTACAATAACTCATCACTAAATAATAAATAACGCCCTGTTTGCGTGGTCTATAGTGTGATCTAATCATAATATGTTTATTAATCTAAATGACTCAAAAACGCATACATTAGACTTCAAACGTAGGCAGTCCGAGGTCTGTTGAGACTCGTAAACAAAGCGTATCTGCAAACTTTAGGCAAACCATTTTCCATTTGAGACGCTCATCTGTTCCACATTTGAACTTAAACAACAAAATTCTATCCAAATGAAAGGGTCATACATCTATTACATTAGTCACTACTCAGTGATCCATAGAATTTGAGACGAAGAGGTGCAATGACTTTAAAGAGGGAAATATCTTGGCATGTACTTGAAAACGGTCATAACATTGACATTCCAAAAGCCTTCAAGATTATTAGTAGAAAAAACACGGCCTCTCTTCAGTTTGCTGAAGCAATAGCAATAAAAACTCAAACCTGATTTATGTATTCAGAAAGAGATAGTAATAAACTTATCAATACCTGAGTAAACTATGTATGTTATTATCATTATTGAACTACTGTTTATTTTGTTATATGGTCTTATTTTATGAACATCAAGGCCATCACTTCAATTTTTCGTTCTCTTAACTTATGTAAATTATTCAAATCCTGTTCGGTTATTACGTAACCCATATTAACAACTTTTAATTTCAGTAATCTTATTATACCCTTCATAACCAAAATTATTACACAATCTATCTTATCTGTCTTCGAACCTCATTTCATAAATGCCTTACCCACCCTTTATTGTTTTTTGGATTCCAACTCCAAAATATATATGGCTATTATAGATAACCTTCGTCATTCTAATTCCTTTGTTCATCTATATACATTGTTTCACATTGTATCATATCTCAGTGTTAACTTTCAATACATATATGGTTGTAAGCACCTGATGAGAAACTACAAAATATAATGAATTCATAGTATTCTGCATCAATGTTTGTTCTGGTTTTCTTCAGATTTATGAAGCGACCCAATTGTGATCGATCAATATGCTCGTAACTTTCCGATAATTATTTTCAATCTTATTATAATAAAAAAGGCAACTATTAAAATGTTAAGTTATATTCTGCCTAAGAGCTTCAAAAATAATCATTCAGTGTCGTATTTTTAAGCATCATATTCTTTATACTTCTAGTTTTCCTACTTTGAGTAAATATGTTTCTTCTTCAGACTATTTACACGATTCCTGAGTGCACTTTTTACTTTCATCCTCTAGATATGTAATTAAAGTTTTAAGGAATTATAACTCAAGTTAGAAGATGATTAACTTTAAAAAAATTTCACCAAGAAATGACACTAGCTGGAGAACTGTTCAAAAAATAAGGAAGTCAACAACTGCTTTGTCTGTGCTTGAAAGATCATATCAAGGGGCACTACAAGGAAATGAATCAGAAACATTCACTTCTCATGGCAAACACAAAAACGTATAAACCAAACATATTAAATTCTAGCTATTCGCGTTTTCTAATTTTTTTTTTCAATTTTTGACACTAGTCGATTTTCTTACAGTGGTTTTCTGGCAGATATTAGTTCAAAATGAGAAACATCCTTTGAATTCAAGAAAATCAGAGCAAACAAACTACATTAACTAACCATCATATAGTCTCGAATATTTTAGGATGGTAAAACTCAAAGAGAAAAAAGAAAATTTCATTTTCCACTTGAGATTTAATTGAGCTTTACAATATCCAGTATCATATTTTAAGGAATATTGATTAATATTACTAATATTATTAGTAGCTATTAGTAATAGTATGATCCATCTGGACAATGATCATATACTTAATATATAACTTCTAGCTGCAAGCTTTAGCAAAATTCTGAACTAACTTATACAGTATTAAAAAGCCATACATATATACTTGTGTATGTAAAAAAATATATGTGTACACACTTATTTACCACAAAAACTGTTCATTTATAATTCCATATTAAATGGACTTATTTAACTTTGACAATAACCCTAATTATAATACTAATGACATTAATGACTGTAATTAAAGCGAATAGCAAAAGCTAATAACAACAATACATGCAAATGAACAATAGTTAATTCATTATTTTATTGTAATTGTCATAACTAACGGTAATATTTAGTGCGATGATACATTTATTTAAGAATACAAAGGTATACTTATATATATTACTGTTCTTTTCATTTCTGAATATTACACTCATTAGTGTAATTTACGTATTAGAAGTTAATATGCCGCTTGTTTACAAATTTGCCATTATTAAATAAAAGGTTTATGAGATTAATACTTATTTCTGTTAATCGAATTAGACAAAACAATGGAAATCTACATAACAGTACCGTTATATTAAGTTTTTATACATTAATTCACTACAGTGACAGCTGACTATCAATTTGTTGTGTTTTTCATAACTATAAAAGAAAGAGAAACAGATTAACAGTGTTGAAAGACAAGAAACTAATAATTGTATCAGAAAGGGGTTTTGTGGGTATTATGGTAATTTCAATATTTGAAACCATAGGTCAATTGAAGCTAGATTACCATGAAAAACCTTGACGCACTGGACTGTCGTTTTGTCCCTGTATGGGACTCCTCGGCATTCAGAGTTCACGATTCCGCCTCGCGGAGTTCAAAACCAGAGCCTGTCGGTCTCGTACTCGAACGCTTAATGTCTAGATCGCTGAGTTGGCCGGCATCTAACGGTGTTAATGTCTAGCTTCAACCAATAAACGAAATCGCGTCACCGTCCACCATTGTCTTCAGTGAGTTACTACCTAACAAGAGACCCAGTTGAATTCCACTGACCATGGCTTTGCACTAGAACTCCAGGAAATACCTCTTGAAGCCAGTCACTAGTGAGCACATGATAAATATTATCAGAAAGGGTCTTTTGGGATATTATAGTAATTAAATAGTCGAGTTCATGAGTCAGTTGAAGCTAGACCACCATGGAAAATTTGGAAACACTGGACGATCGTTTCGACTAGTTATAATTTCTGACGGTTAACCAATGAAATATTTTATATTTAATTTAATCTAGATGATTTGTAAATCATGAATAGTATTTTCGAAGTGTTTTAAGTAAGAAAGTTACAACTGTTTAGTGGTATCTGGTTTACAATACTTCATTAAATGATGTGGGTTTTTGATGGAAATGTTCTTTAGTTTATTACAAGATTATAGAATAGTTATAGTGGTCGACTGATTAAACTCAAGTATTTCTGTTATTCTATATTTATCAGAAAATTGTATGAACTCAAAATGAATTACTATATTTCCCTTAGAATCTAACCAAAATAGTCTGAACTTCCACAGAAAATAATCAAATCTGAAACTGTTGACAATAAACAAGGTCAGAAATGAAGTTGCATTATACAATTGTCTTATCACATTAAGATTTTAAGTTTCACTTCTATTGAATGATCCTTTAATGTAAAATATGTCTAAATTATTATGTTTAGAAATGTACATATTTGTAAATGTATGTCATTTATATTAAGCGATTGATCTTGTCAGAGTATGATCTATTATATTCATTTAATTGAGTTAGAGACACATTAAGTCATAATCAATGCTTATTCAGTTAAATGTATATTATTTTGATGACTGTACTATATTTATTTCTTTATTAATCAACATTTCTAAACTGTAGTTTATTACACTTCTTTACTGTCTATTTAGATTACTTAGTTTGACCTATTTTTAGTTGACTTCGTGTGTTAATCATTTTTTATAAACTTCAAAAAATATCTTGAAAAGTTATACTTTTGTAGTGAACGAGAACATGAGAAGGGACAACCAAATGTATTTTGAATGTAAAATTACAGAATATTTTAGTAAAATCTGTGAACTATACATTAAATAATTCATTTGCCAAATGTCAATCAATCGTCTCAGACTTGATTGTTTCTTCTTTTCCATATCAACCACTTTCTGTTCTCGTTCTCTTTTCTTCGATCTTCTTAACCTTCTGCTACCAGGTATTTCTTTTTTGATTGATGTTACATACTGCTTATATCTATCGATATCAATAGCACACAGTACACTTCCACATGGT